ATTTTCAGTTTAACTACCAAGGGTCAAAGACTGCTTCGTGTGGATTTCATTTTAGCATTTATCCAGTTGTTTCTCAAGTAGGCAAACCTGAGCAATCTATAGACTGATGTCTGTCTTTTTATACTAGAAATTTGTTTTTAATTATGTAAATACAGTTTACCAGTCAGAAAACTCTCTTCAATAAAACATCCATGTTTGATTGTTTGTGTTTTAACTTCTGACTGGCCAATGATGATCATGTAGAAAATAATAGTACTGCACAGGCATAGGACCACTTATCTGGCATGCTTGGGAGCTGGGAATGGAGGTGCTGGGATTGGGCAAGTGTGATCGACGTGACCTCTGCATCTTGAGACGCGATTGGTACTAAGGCATTGTGGGTGGTAGCATGTGAAGTTCGCATGTCACCACATGAGACAGGAGAGTTTATCCCATTATTCTGAGTTAGTTTAGTGCATTTTATATTCAAATAGGCCCACTAAATGTCAAAATTTCATATGAGGTGACCTGAAGCTCTAAAGATGCACACCATATGACTTGACTTGAAGCCCAGGGGTTCAAGACATTAATTAACCCATGAGAACCTGGTGGGCTTCCAAGACCTCATTAAAACCATAAGACATACTGTACATGAGACGTTGGTAGCCCTCCAATACCTTAATTAACCAGACATACATGAGACCTTGATGAGTGCTCCTACAGGTTCTATGAGCAGCTGCGGCGGAGGTACTATGTGACATTGTGACACCCACCTCCTACCTGGAGCTCGTGTTCACCTTCAAGCAGCTCCTCCTTAAGAAGCGCTCAGAGATCCTCACACTACGGGACAGGTAAAGCTCAGGAAGCTCATCACCAGCTTTAGTAATGTTATACTGTACATCTATTGATGAATTTTAGTCGATGAGAATTCCCCGACCCAACTTCGATTTTGTTTTTATTTTACTTGTGAAAATCAATAATATTGTGCCCAAGTTATTTTAAATGTATGAATATGCATTCTTAGTGCCAAAAACATTAACCATTTCATCTCTGAAGGTATGTGACAGGTCTGGAGAAACTGAAAGAGGCCAAGCTGTTGATCACTGAACTGCAAGAAGAGCTAAAGCTGCTGCAGCCCTGCCTAGTGGAGACCTCTGCCAACACGGAGGCACTTATGATCAAGATCGAACAAGACACCATCCAAGTGGAGAGGAAACAAGAGGTGTGAAGCTGTTATCTTTCACTTGTCAAACTTACCTGTTAATACTATTAATAATTCTATAACAAAAAGATGTATCTCTAACTCTGTAATAGATGGTACAGTGTGTATGTTGAAGTGCAGAAATGTACTACAGATAATACTCAACCAGGTGCCATAACTACACTACATGTGTGAGTTTGGTTGTGTAGAAAATATGTCGAAGCGAGTTAATTGTTTTTAATGAAATTAGATAGATTGGTTGGTTTAGACAACTAACTTCTTTAAATTAAGAGAAAATATATAAGAAATCAAGTTCAAAGAGCCCTTTATATTTCATGCACTAAAATACATAAAAAATTTATGTGGTTATTGATCATTCAATCTACCTAGCAAATTTAACAGATGTGAAATATATTGTCTTTGACTGTGAACTGTAAGTGTGACCTTGACCTGCTTTCTCCAAAATTAGACTAGATTTCTCTTAATCAACAGCAACCTATAGTCCCAAGTTTCATTAACTCTAATAAAGAGTTGTGTAGACAACAGACACATACAGTGGAATGTGACTGTGACCATGGCTTTGAATATATTTACCCCAGCTTTCAATTACCTTTTCCTTTGCCTACACTCAACCCTTGACGATCATTTGGTGAAGAGGATAAAAGAAAAGGAAAAGTAACAGAGACGTGACCGATCGCCCAAGCACCTAACGAGCCAATCAGTGGTGAAGAGGATAAAAAAAAAAAGACTGTTTCACTAGAGTTCACCAGTCTATTCTTTAGCTTTACTTGCCCAAATTTATTTATTTTCTCTGAGGTAAATAACCTTTTAGCCTGCCAGGTTTCATCGAAGCTACCCTTCCCATTCTTTTATATATTTTGTTCATAGATACAAACACAAGTATAATTCCCCAAACCCAGAAGAACAAACATAAGTGAAACATGGAAGGTTGTTGAAGATACCACAATGAAACCAATGTTGTAGTCACAATTCAGTCAGTGTTTTGTGATCTTGATGTAAAATATTGTCATTGGCAAGGTTCTTGTTACTATCATGAACACCTTGCTAGTTATTGCTGTTTTTGTGTTCGTGTTTTATGTTCCCTTCTAATGTTAACCCTGCCTCTCTTGGTAAAAAAAAAAAGATGAAAGTGATAACATATCTCATTTCTTGGTTATTGATAACAAATTTGTTCTCAGTTGGTGGCGGCAGACGAGGCGGTGGCCAATAAGAAGTTTGCCGATGCACAGGCCATAAAAGACGACTGTGAAAAGGAGCTCGCCAAGGCAGTACCAGCTCTCAATGCTGCCACAGACGCCCTCAACACCCTCAAACAAGATGACATACGCGTCGTCAAGGCCATGAAGAACCCGCCCTCAGGAGTCAAGCTGGTGAGTATAACCTACCAAATGATGACATTGGTTATGAAGAGTGCTCACCTTAACCTCCACTCTGACTCTACCTAAGTCTCCACTGTTGTTTTACCTAATCTTCCACTCTGACTCTACTGTCCCCAAACCTTCACTTTGCCTTAATATCCTCTAGCTGTTGACCTTAAGTCACTTTGTGCTCCTAACACACCCTGTGATCCTCACACCCTCCTAAAGATATATGAAAAGTTTTGTCCCTGTGTTGTTTTTTGTATTTCTAATCATTAGTGAAACTTTTTGAGAAATACTACATCAGTTGACGCACTCTGCATTAGAAGGGGGTGAAGCTCCAAATTCAAAAAGCTGAGAAAAACACGTTGAAAGTTTTCAAGGTTCAAACAACCATAACTTTTTTTTTAAGCTAGAGGGTTCTTTTTTTTATCGTGCAGCTTAATCCCTCTCCTAGCGAACTGTGACAACTGGAAATTAGTACAGTGAATAGTTATTAATTTATTGCGAGTTGAATGAAAATAACCCGTGATGTAGAGTTGTTTGATCTTCAAACCAACAATAATCGCATTTTTCTGCAATTTTTTTTTATTAATATTTGTGGGTTAATACTGTAAAACAAGTTAATGATAACCAAAAACAGCACTCGTTTTACCACCCCCCCCCCCCAAAAATAATAATAAAAACTCATTTGCCTATTAGTATTTATCTTTCCGTCCCTATTATTAGCCAAAGATTTATAATATTGTTAAGTTTAATAGTGTGTAATAATGAGGAAACACCACTACACTCATCCCACCCCCTACCATGAACCCCCCCCCAACGTAATTAACAGACGAATACAAAGGCTTAGAAAGTTTGCATATTCTTTGGTTAAGAGAGTATTCTGATAATAGTATTACAATCTTACTTTGTTTAGTTCCTTCGTTTTATTATCCCTGAATATCGTAGTAACTTGAAGTTACGTAAATCCTGAGGAGTGCGTTTAACTTAAATGGCCTCTTCATAATCAATCATGTACTGATCAAAGTCTTTTTCTGCCCTCTCTAAAAATCGCCACACAGATTCTTCATGAACTAGATCATTGATTTTTGATGCCGGCAACAGTTTAGTTTCATTATAAGATTGAGTTATGGGCTCACTTTCATTCGCATTCGTTGGTTCAGGCACACTTTCATCACTATCAAGGTCAATGCATGCCTCGTCACTGTCCATTTCTACCTCCTCACAGTCTGTATGTTCTTGTTGTGATACATTAGTGTCACTCTGTTACCATTAGACTCACTTTCATCATTTTCATCTTCACTTTCATCATCATTATTGCTGTCAGTGCATGTCACGTAACTCTGTACCGGAACATAGTCTGCAAAAAGGTCTTGTGATGCATAGCAGTCACTTTTTGTATGATGAGTACAGTGAGTTCTGCTATAACGCGTGTTTTGACAACGCGAATTTGCTCGAACGCGATTTATGAATTGAGGAACGATATTTGTAAAACGCGAACTAGTTTGCTCTAACGCGATTCCACTTGAACGGTTGTTGTGGCTTCAGTTCACGTTCGACATCACATGTTCAATTGAGTTATGTGTTTTGTTTGTGAACAATTGCAGAAATAATGTATGTAATATTTGTGTATACAGTATACCTATATATTATAAGTAAATTGTAAAATTTTACATAAAAGAGAAAATCAATTTACATAGCGTTTTACACCCGCGCTCTCTCTACATCACACACAGTGTTTACAGTTCACGTTCGACATCACATATTCAATTGATTTATGTGTTTTGTTTGTGAAGAATTGCAGAAATAATTTATGTAATATTTATGTATACAGTAAACCACTCACAAGGTCCTACAGTACCACTAATTATTTTATACTGAAACTTACGTTTGGGAAGCTGGATTAAAATGAAGATTACCGGTATATTAAAATAATAAAAATGTATTATAAACCAGTCTAACATACCGTAATAAACACAGCTGCTATTATCATCCCCCCCCACCCCCATTTGCCAGTGACAAGAAAGGGAAAGTGACCTTGACTGTGACCGCCTGTGGCTATTTTTAGCCGCCCTTGTGTTCGGAGGTGGTCAGTAATGCATATCTGTATATTTACTGATCATAATACTTATCTCTTATAAATAATTCATTTAAAATTTATTTTTTTGCAAAGAATATTCAGTAAATGACTGCATTAATTCTTGAAACTACCTACAGTGGTAAATTTAGGATATAAATAATGAACAGAAGTCACATCATGGATTCGGAGTTTGGTCCTTAACGATCACCATAAATGTAGCCTCCCTTTGTCGCGAAACACGTATATAAATTAAAGAAAATACTTGCAGTATATATAATATATTACAGTATATTATATATAAATAAATAAACAAATAAATTCAAATTCCTTTATCATCCTGTGTCATATACAGAAATACTTGAGTCCCTGAGCGAGTACACAAAAAGAAAACGGAGGACTAAGACATCCTGAAGTGGATAGAGAACGGACATCTCTACTGGGGGACTCAAACGTTTCTTATGTTTTGTGGGCGCTCTAGCATAATATGAATAATATGTAAATTACAATTTACTTATACAGGTATATATATATATATATGTAAATTGTAAAAATTTAAATAAAAGAAAAACTAAATACGCAGTGTAAGTGAGATTGTTTGTCTACACTCAGGATGGGATGGAGAAAGGAAACTCACAATGTGCTTCTATATACATGTTGTATTGGATGTACAATGCAGCTTGGTGCTGGGAAGGCAGCATGGTTACAAGCGTGATGTAGAGAGAGCTGGTTGGTGAGGACGCTCAGAGAAGGACAGCTTGTGGGTCGCCGTGCTCGCCAGCGGGAGAGAGGACCGCCAGGCAGGCGGAGGAGCGAAGGGCCGCCAGGCAGCGGCGGAGGAGGAGGTGTTGCTGGCTGCGGCTGTAGGTAGAAAGAGGCAGATCACCACGAGGTCTGGTCTTAAATAGCGGGGGTAGGCGTGGCTTAGCAGTTGACCCCCGCTCCGTGATGTATGGCGGCGCTGGTTGACCTAGACCACGAGGCATACACTGGGGAATTGGTGGGGTCGGCTAGGCAGCGACAAACAGCGTTTGTAGGGGAGAATTCCACTACAATACTCCCCCTTCCCTCCAGGCGGTGTAGGAGACTTGTTGTCTGCAGGGTTGCTTAGCACATGTGAGGCAGAACGGGCGGTGCATGCCTCATGTGAGACAACGGCGATGGCGTGGATGAGCCTGTCGCTGGATACAACTGTCTAGATACACACTATCTGTGGGAGAAGAGAGGGAGAAAAGGGTGTGTGGAGGCGATGAATGTTGTGCTTCCCTCACGGCAGGTACAGAGTCGTCAGATGCGCCTGCTGGGGTGTGTGGGCCTGGGTCAGGAGCAGGGGCCGCGTCAGCAGAAGCGGATGAGGGCTCGTGACAGCAGCTGGGTCCACGACAGCAGCAGGGTGCAGGACATTAGCAGGGAGTACCTGAGGGAGAAAAGAGGGGTGTGTGGGTCCGCACTCAGGAACAGAGGCCGCATCAGGGGCGGCAGGGGTTACTGCTGGGCCGGGGTCGGCGTCTGAGGCAGGACGGGTGTGCTGGGGTCGGTAGGACGTGGTGCTTGGGGGCAGGAAAAGGAGCTGGTGTCTGCTAGGAGAAACAGTGCTGCTCTAGGGTGTCTAACCTGTGGTGTAGAGACAGTAGTTGTAGAGCCGATGAGAGCTGCTTCTGGGTGGATAAGCCAGTCTTCCATGTTGCTTGAAGACTGGGAGCGTGATCAGTTTCTCCTCCATCCTGTGTGAGTGCGAATCTCCGGGGGTCACCATTTGTGGGGTATGAGATTGTTTGGTTCACACTCAGGATGGGATGGAGAAAGGAAACTCACAATGTGCTCTCTATATACATGTTGTATTGGATGTACAATGCAGCTTGTTGCTGGGAAGGCAGCATGGTTACAAGTGTGATGTAGAGAGAGCTGGTTGGTGAGGACGCTCAGAGAAGGACAGCTTGTGGGTCGCCATGCTCGCCAGCGGGAGAGAGGACCGCCAGGCAGGCGGAGGAGCGAGGGAAGGCCGCCAGGCAGCGGCGGAGGAGGAGGTGTTGCTGGCTGCGGCTGTAGGTAGAAGGAGAGACAGATCACCACGAGGTCAGGTCTTAAATAGCGGGGGTAGGCGTGGCTTAGCAGTTGACCCCCGCTCCGTGGTGTATGGCGGCGCTGGTTGACCTAGACCACGAGGCATACACTGGGGAATTGGTGGGGTCGGCTAGGCAGCGACAAACAGCGTTTGTAGGGGAGAATTCCACTACAACAGTCTAAGGAGGAGTACAAAACAAGGTGTATATCAGCATATACCTGGATCACGAGCACCCACAGTGATTTACTTGTATATATATATATATATATATATATATATATATATATATATATATATATGTAAATTGTAAAAATTTAAATAAGAGAGAAAAACAAAATAAGTAGCGTTTAAAGTGTACTGTACATTGTGGCTTGGCGCGGGGTTATGCAGTGTTTACAGTTCACGTTCGACATCACATGTTCAATTGATTTATGTGTTTTGTTTGTGAAGAATTGCAGAAATAATTTATGTAATATTTATGTATACAGTATACCTGTACAGTATATGTAAAATGTAAAATTTTAAATAAGAGAAAAACAAAATACATAACGTTTTAGACCCGCGCGCTCTGTTTACTCCACACACTGTTTGAAACGCTGTGAAGTTTTTGAAGTGTCCTCAGTGAACTCTGATTACTGTTTCTCCAATTTTGTGACTATGGAAAAGAAGAATATCTCTGGGAAGCACTCTGGTGATCGCATTTCCGGTGGTGATCGTAAAAGAAAGGCTATAACACTTGAAGAAAAGCTTGATGTTTCATGACTCCTCAACATCAACATCAACCTTCTCCCCCATCAAGTTATATTCATATTTTTTCAAGGTAAAGTGTAACATTTACTGTATGATTTCATTATTAGATATGAATGTAACATTTATTTAGACTGTGCTATCCTTTGTGTTAGGCTAACTACGAAATTTTTTTTCGATTTGGAGTAATCTGCTGGACTTGAAGCAGAAGAGGGAGGAGTCGAGGAGGAACGGGGACAGGTGCACATGGGTTATACTCAGGGGGAGGGTAGTGGAAACAAGTGTGCCGACACAGGGCCAGGGGGCAGCAGTGCACCCTCCACCCACTCAACCCCCCACCCGGGAGGCGGCACCAGCTCAGCCTACCGGACAGGAGGGAACGAGCGCCGTGTAAACAATGACATTTTTAACCACACCCTGCAAAATACAGTGTACTTAGCAAATGCTGCAGCTTCTGAGAATGTGGGTGGAGCGGGTTTATTACTAAGAGCAGAGATGTTACCGAGAACAAATTCTGGCTTGAATGTCATGTACACTAATACTGACACGTTCCTTGATAAGAGGGAGGAGTTTGAAACACTACTAAGAGTACACCAACCAGATATTGTAGGAGTTGCAGAACTGTTGTACAAGAACAGGAGAATCGACCCAGAGGAATGTGAGTTCAGTATTCCTGGATATGACTCATTTATGAACCTAACTCAAGAATCCTGCAGGAGGGGTGTGGTTATCTACGCTAGGCAAGACCTTAGAGCCAGCCAGGCGAGGGTACAGGGAGAGGATGTTTTTGAAGAGTCCAAGTGGTGTAAAATTAAATTAAAGGGAGGGGACTTACTTATCGTCGGGTGTATCTACAGATCCCCGAACTGTGGCCCACTAAATCAAAGGAACTTAAGAACCTTAATAAACAATGCGGCGATGCTCAACCCCAGCCACCTCCTTATCATGGGGGACTTTAACTATGGCGACATCGACTGGAGAAACGAGTCAACCCTGAATGACTTGAATAATCCTGCTACTCTTTTTGTAGAAACTCTGAGAGATAATTTTCTGTTCCAACATGTGAGAGACCCGACACATTACAGAGGGGAGCAAACACCCAAGCCACTTGACCTCATCATAACAAACGAGGAGGGTATGGTGGCCAAACTGGAACACCTTGCCCCAGTTGGCACCAGTCACCATACAGTGTTGTCATTCAGATTTAACTGTTACTTAGTTCAAGATAAGGCCAGGCCAAGGTGCAAATATTACAAGGGAAATTACAATGGGATGAGGGAAGAGATGAGGGGTATCAACTGGCCTGACTTATTAAGGTACAAGAACGCAGACACTACGCTGAATATCATAACTAGTAAAATGACCCATTTGATCGATAAATATATACCCAAGACCAAACCCAGTGCTTCTAGGAATACGAGGGGATCCCTACACATGAACCATGCAGCGGTCGACAAAATTAAGAAGAAAACCCAGAAATTCAAGACGTGGGTTGGGTCAAACGATGAGCAAGACAGGAGGATGTATGCAAGAGCCAGAAACCAAGCAAAGATGGAGTGTAGGAGGGCTGAAAAGGAGTTCCAAAGGCTGGTTGCACGCGAGGTCAAGTCAAACGCAAAGGCGTTTTACCGCTATGCAAAGTCGAAATTGAAAACGCGAGTAGGAGTATCAGACCTGAGGCTTGAAGATGGTAGTTACGCAGATTCTGACCAGGATAAAGCTGAGGCATTGAACAGCTTTTTTCCTCAGTGTTCACAAGAGAGGATGCAACTAACCTTCCTGCGTTTGAGGACAGACGGTTCGACACAGCACTGACCCACATTGTGTTCACAGAAGAGGGTATTAGAAATAAACTGTCCAGGCTAAAGGTCCATAAGAGTCCTGGACCTGACATGGTGCATCCTAGAGTGCTAAGGGAGCTGTGCAACGAGCTTGCAGAGCCCCTGAAGATTCTGTTTTGTAAATGCCTGGATGAACAAATGGTCCCCAGTGAACGGAAAGTGGCTTATGTGAGTCCTATCTTCAAGAAGGGCGATAGGCACTCCACGAACAACTATAGACCGGTGAGCCTGACCAGCATAATATGTAAAGTACTTGAGAGTATTATCAGAGATGCAGCGATGGAACATCTACTACGAAACAACCTTGTAAAAGATTGCCAACACGGTTTTATGCCGGGGCGCTCTTGCTTGACACAATTGCTCAAGGTATTGGATATTTGGACCCATATTCTAGAACGGGGTGGTAATATCGACAATATTTACCTAGATTTTGCCAAGGCTTTCGACAGTGTACCCCACGAAAGGCTGAAAATCAAACTGGAAGGGTACGGAATTCGGGAAAATGTCCTAGCGTGGATAGAAGACTTTCTACATGACCGCAAGCAATGTGTGGTGATTAATGGCACGAAATCGTCATCTGTACCTGTAACAAGTGGGGTACCGCAGGGTAGTGTATTGGGCCCGCTGTTGTTTGTTTGTTTCATAAATGATATGCCTGACGTTGTACACTCCTCCATACAAATGTTTGCCGATGACGCCAAGTTATTTCGGGAAATTAAGAACCAAGCGGACTGTGAAGAGCTGCAGAAGGACCTCTGTGGGCTCCAGGAATGGTCGAAGGAATGGCTGCTGAGATTCAATGTCACGAAGTGTAAGAGGATGCACCTGGGGCGTACCAACGGTAAGGAGGCGTACCATATGTCCCAACGGGATGAAGAAAATGTACTAGTTGAGACTGTGTGTGAGAAGGACCTAGGTGTGTATGTTGACAATGAGCTGAAGTTCTCGGGCCATTGTGAGAAGAAGGTAAATCAGGCAAATAAATTATTGGGTCTTATAAGAAGGTCGTTCAGATATCTAGACGGTCCGTCCCTCGTGACGATCTTCAGGAGTGAAGTGCTTCCCCATCTGGAGTACTGTCACCCCATCTGGTCCCCGAGATATGCTAGGGACTGTCAGTTGGTTGAAAATGTTCAAAGGAGGGCCACCAAGCTGGTGCCTGCACTTCGGCATCTCAGCTACCCTGCGAGATTGGAGCGCCTGAACTTGCCTAGCTTATACTACAGACGGGCAAGGGGGGACCTAGTTGAGGTTTATAAGCATCTCAGGGGGCACTACTCAGTTGAATGTCCTTACTTGGAGCTGGCGGACGCTCGCCCCACAAGGGGTCACAGCTCAAGATTGAAGAAGCCGCAAGTCCGGAAAACCGTGAGGGCAAACTTTTTCGGAGTGAGGGTTGTAAACTCTTGGAACAATCTACCAGAAAGTGTTGTGACGGCACCGAGTGTGAGCTCTTTCAAAAGAAGACTTGACCAACACTGGAGCGGGTTCAGGTACATTCAGGAGCCGGTGCATGCCCAGTATTTGCCAACAGTGCGTGACAGAGACGTGACCGATCGCCCGGGCGGCTAGCGAGCCGACCTTTTGGTGAAGAATATAAAGGAAAAGAGACGTGACCGATCGCCCAAGCGGCTAACAAGCCGATCAGTGGCGAAGAGGATAAAAGTAAAAAGTAAAAGTTCTCCATAAGCCCTGTTATTTCTATTACACGAATTTCTATAACACGATGTTTTACAAGAACACTACTATCGCGTTATAGCAGAACTACCTGTATACCAAAATCACTATCACTATCACCAAGCATTCCTAGGATGTCCACGTGAGCACTGTCATCACTAAACACACGTTCAGGAATAATGTGCTCCTGAACCTATACCAGAAGGCCTGGCCTCACTCAACTCTTGCTCCAATATCGGGCAGATATTGCACAGCATTTTACACACCCGTGGATGAACAACATCATTGTTACGCCGAAAAGTTATCAAAAATAGCCATAGAAAGTATACTGAACCTCCTTATGCTATACAATGCACCAAAACTAACAAGGAGGCAGCATCTGGGCGCGCGGATTGGCCGAGGAGCTGTGACATAGCAAGGGGAAATCCATTGTGATTGGCTACCTCAGGGGTATGGTCCGAGGGAGGCGCGCTGTCATTGGCTCGCGCTCCTCTCGCTCTGAACGGGAAGTTGCCACCTTCTTTGACTGAGCGCACAGCCAGATACGTAGCTCCAGGCCTGAGGCAAAATCACGCCTAATTTTGAAGGACTTTCTACCATATTTCTATTCTAGCTAGAGCGTTACATCCAACGGGTGAAAATAGTGATATCCATCAAAAAACGCATTTTGGCCAGAGTGTCACTTCACCCCCCTCTAATGCTGAGCGCCTCAATTCTAGTGGGTTATGAGAAACATAACATCAATTCTAGTGTGTGATGAGAAACATATTTCTAGTGGGTGATAAGAAACACTACTTCAATTCTAGTGGGTGATGAGAAACAGTTCTAGTGGGTGATGAGAAACACTACATTAGTTCTAGTGGGTGATGAGAAATACCATCAACAAGGCAGAGTGAAGCCATGTGTCATCTTCATAGACTTCTGTGTAATTTTTATCCTAACCTAACCTAACATAACTTTAACCAAACCTAGCATAACGTAACTTAAGATAGCATAGTCTAACTTAAGATGACCTGACCTAACACAACTTAACCCAGCTCAGTAATGCAGTGTTTCTCATCATCCATCTCATGTTTTTCATCACCCAGGTCAGTAAAGTTTCTCATCACCCAGTTCTCTAATGCAATGTTTGTGTTCATGTTTTACTAGAGCTGTAAAAATACCCAAAATAACAATGCTGCACTATACAGTTCAATACTATGCTTTATGTCAGGTAATGGAAGCTGTGTGTGTAATGCTGGACCTCAAGCCAGAGAGGAAGCCAGACCCTAATGGCTCAGGAAAAATGATTGAGGACTATTGGGCACCATCTCAGAAGCTGTTGGGGGATATGAAGTTCCTCCAGAACCTGCTGCACTATGACAAAGAAAACATTCCCACAAAGATTATCACTCACGTCCGCAACAAGTAAGTTCAAACATTATTTCCGTGATATGGTATTCATTAGGTAATTCATCTTTGCCATTAAGTATGACCAAGACAGAGGCTATCAGAGTGGTGTCGAGACAGACAGACCGATATGAATAAACTCATACTATTGAACAAATAAAATGCTGTAAAAAATTATCAACATTACTACTGTCTCAGTACTGTACTAACATGTAGCTACCTGATGCTTGCACTCAAGAGTGTGCATGGTTATTCAGGACGGATTACATCTTGGAAAATTTTCTTGTTATACCAGTATATTTTCCTTCACCCAATGAAAATGTAAAATAACAGTTGAAAATCTTGGTTGCTGGAACAGTGCTGTTGAATATGGACGCCTTGAGAATGACACACACAGTAATAACTGTGTAAGTCACACTACCTACTGTCACATTTAGAAATGACTGTTCTTCCACTTTAACCCTGAAACCTATTATAAACTCACAAAAAGTAAAGGAAATAAATGTTGAGACATTTTAAAATGTACTTATCCATTAATTTACTTATTCATGCATATGTATCTTATATATAGCCCCCAAGAAACAAGCTTTGGAGGCTGCCAACCATGAACTGGCCCCCCAGAATGAAAAGCTAGAGGAAAAGAGGAAGGAACTCAGAGAGGTAATGTGTGAACCGAGAAAGATGTGTGAAATAAAAGACATTGCATGTAGAACCATTTCAACATATAGAATTACTGTATGGTAGACTTAGTCATCATTATATTATGAAGACTACTATTCCTTCTACAGTATATGTTCATCTACCTGCAATATGTGCATGAGTCTGCTCAGGTGTTGTGAAACAAAAGTTTTTTAGTTAACCCTTTACTTGTCATATTCCTAGATCCATGTACGTGAGTGACCATCTCTGAGCAGTCCATTACGTAGATCAATGAATTTGACTTTTTAAATTTCCCACAGCATCTGAAATGGTCCAGAAGGATTAATATATTTAAAATATGGCACATGGTAACCTCTCAAGACACATTAGCCTGTATCAGCAACCTCTGTCCCTCCAAAATGCTTTGTTTACTAACCCTACCACCACTACATCCATCCAGTCCCTCCCCAAGTTTGCTGCCCACATCACAGGCTAACAAATATGCCCAGAGACTTTCTCACGTATGCAAGAACACAGTGTTACTTGAAAAAGTGCACACAGATGCTAGGTATTGCAGCAGTGAGTGTGATCTGGTAGAATGTTCCAAGAGTTCACAACTCTCACTCCGAAAAAGTTTGCCCTCACAGTTTTCTGGACTTGCGGCTTCTTCAGTCTTGAGCTGTGACCCCTTGTTAGGCGAGCGTCTGCCAGCTCCAAGTAAGAACACTCGACTGAGTAGTACCCCTTGAGATGCTTATACTACACCTCAATTAGGTCACCCCTTACCCGTCTGTAGTACAGGTTGTACCTCTCTAGTCCGGCATTCTGTGGTCCAGAAACTCCCGTGGTCCGGAACGATTTTAGTTTGTCCAATAGGTAGATAGGCAGCTTTCTTTTTTTTTTTTCTTTTTCTTTTTTATCTGAATTATTATTATTACAGGAGTATTAAATTTTTGCCCCTCAGGCCCCAATGTGGGTCAGTGACTTATGCACAGGTGGGCTAATCTCCTTAAAAAAAAAAAACAAAGCCACGGGAAATTAAGGTTTGTTTACATCTGGCTGCTCTCTCTCTCTGTCTGCTTGTCTATACAGAGGACAACATTTAACCCTTCAATATATATGAGCAGTAAATAAGTGTTGCTTTCATATTCTTATGTAGAGTAATGAGATATGTTTTCACATGTGCGCACTTACATGCGCGCAGTCTCACTTTTTTTTTTACCATTAATGGTTAGCTACTTATATTGTTCCATTTATTAACATTAAATAACATTACAGGTACTTCAAACAACCATATTAATTTTTTTACATTCATTTTACTACAGCTAAACTCAGGGTCTTATTTTCTTCAGTTTTATATGTAGAACCAATCAGTCACTGGTTTTGTAAGCTGTAACATAAACAATGCCGGCAGCCGTCTCGTCTCCTCTAATATTCCACGTATTATTAACAAATTGAATTGTTAATTTTGCACACACAAACATTAATTCAATAAAAGCAAATTCAGAAACATTAATTAAAATATATATGAACAGTAAATAAGTGTTGCTTTCATATTCTTATGTAAAGTAATGACGATATGTTTTCACGTGTGCGCACTTACATACGCGATCTCTCTTTTTTCTTTACCATTATCGTTAGCTTCTTCTATTGTTCCATTTATTAACATTAAATAACATTACTTAAAAAAACCATATTAATTTTACTACAGCTACAACCAAGGTCTTATTTTCTTCAGTTTTATATGTAGAACCAGTCAGTCACTGGTTTTGTAATCAACGAAAACAATGCTGTGTCATTTCCTCATGTGTTTTAATATTCTACATATTATTAATGAATTGTATTGCTCAATTTGCACACGTAACATTAATTCAATAAAAAAGACATTCAGTCATGAACAATAATGAATCTTTTGTACATAAGAGGAATGACGCTGTTTACACGATTATGCACGTCGTCTGCGCGTTGGCGGGCCATTCAAACCCGTCGAAATTCAAGTTTCCGCCGTCAAAATTTTTATTTATTTATTTTTTTGTGTTCCAATAAAATACGTTAAGAATTAAAAACTCGCGAAATTTGAGAAGCTACTATATGATATTTAACCCTTCAATATGTCTTCAAAGAGACCATGATGCAGAGAAAGTGGTACTAGTGCTTCCAAGCATAAGCACAAGTCACTATCTATGCAGGAAAAGGGTGAATTTCCATGGTCCAGCACCAGTCAGATCCCGAGGTTGCCAGACTAGAGAGGTATAACCTGTATAAGCTAGGCAAGTTCAGGCGCTCCATTCTCTCATGGTAGTTGAGGACAATCAAAATTCGGTTTAGCTCAACTTGCTGTGAAAGTGGGAAAAGCTGGAGATGAGGTGGCCTGTGAGATATCATGTTTCCATTGTTACATGTAATCGAAACTATATTAGTTGTGAAAAAATCATTACAATACTCTAGTGTGGCTTAGAAATAAAGAAAATATCATATAAAATTATGTAATAAGAAAAATGAAGAGCATGGGTTTGTATGTGTGGCAGTGATGTCACAGCATACACACAGTGCAGCAGGCACGCACACATCTCTAAGTCAACTGAGTGAGTGCTCAGCTGGTTTGAGTGTGGAAGGAGCTGGGTTTTTTTTTACATAAAATATGTGCTTTTGTTTTATAATATGCTATTTATCAACTTTATTGTTTATCTTAAAAGATGTTGTAGTACAGTACATGTATGCAATTTGAATTTTTGTGTTAATAAATCTGTCGTTTAACTTTGAG